TTCTATATATTTCTATATTTTTAGTTTTTTAGAAACTATACTAAGTTTTTTTTTTTTTTAGTTTTAAAATATAAATATGCATTTTAAGTATTAGCCTGGCCTCAGAATTTTCTTAGGAACAATAAAACAGACACAACTGAATTGTAGACATACAGAGAGAGTCTAGAGTCAAAATCAAAGTGGATAGTGATCTGAAAAAAAAAATGGAATGAGAAATGTTTAAGTTTATATTGAGATCTGACATTGGTAAGATCTCTTCTGAAGCTCGAGAGAAGACATGTGAGACTAGGATCTTTTTCTCAGGGGAAACATCTGAAAAGTGGGCGACTCATGCTAAAGTCTCCTATTTCTGTCTAGAATAAACATACGAGATATTAAACATCTCATTTGTGATTTTTCTTTCTTATGGGAATATGTTTATGCGCATGTGTAACATACTTCCTGCGAGTGTCTGTGTGTGGATCCAGACGGAGGGTTCTCCGGCTCCTGCCCTGGTGAACGCCACCAGTCTGATACGATACTCTCTATATTTCAGCAGAGGGGAAAGTGTGACTCCACTGGTTTCTCCTTCAACCCACTCCACAAGCCCACTCTCCACGCAGGACTCCATATGCTGCTTTTGCTCACAATTTCTTGCCAATTGCTGAATCTCTACATTATAACCCTGCAACAGACCAGGAACATGGACGGGACGCTCCCAGCTCAGAGACACTCTGTCAGAGGTAACGTCCATTATGGTCAGCAACTGGGGGGGACCAGGAACTGCAGAAAGAGAAAGAAACGATCTGTATGAGCATGTCTGTGCAGAATGAGTTACATGCCGAAGTTTAATACTGTTAGGGTTTTTTCAAATCCTAAGTGTAAACAATCAATACGACTGACAAACTTAAAAGAACAGCTCACTCAAAAATGAAAATTTGCTGACATATTTCTCACCCTCAAGCCATCCAAGATGTAGAAGAGCTTGTTTCTTCATCAGAATAGATTTGGAGAAATTTTGGCTAAAATACAGAGTCCTCTATTCATACTATTGCTTTCTCCAGTGAGAAAGTCATCCTGTCTGAATCAGGAGAGAAATATGCACCGTTTACAAGTGAAAACAGTCCAAATGTTGTGGATTTTGATGTGAGAGGACAACAGGGGATGGACTTTTTCACTGGAGGACGAGTTATTATGGACTCATATTTTTGACATCTTAATGATGGATTTATTTCTTACAAACACAGCTTTTCACCTCACAATACATTAACTGATGGACTGGAGTGGTGTGGATTACTTCTGAATTATTGTGATGTTTTTATCAGTTGTTTGCACTCTCATTCTGACGGCACCCATTCACTGCAGAGGATCCATTTGTGAGCTAGTACGCCACCAGTCTGATACGATACTCTCTATATTTCAGCAGAGGGGAAAGTGTGACTCCACTGGTTTCTCCTTCAACCCACTCCACAAGCCCACTCTCCACGCAGGACTCCATATGCTGCTTTTGCTCACAATTTCTTGCCAATTGCTGAATCTCTACATTATAACCCTGCAACAGACCAGGAACATGGACGGGACGCTCCCAGCTCAGAGACACTCTGTCAGAGGTAACGTCCATTATGGTCAGCAACTGGGGGGGACCAGGAACTGCAGAAAGAGAAAGAAACGATCTGTATGAGCATGTCTGTGCAGAATGAGTTACATGCCGAAGTTTAATACTGTTAGGGTTTTTTCAAATCCTAAGTGTAAACAATCAATACGACTGACAAACTTAAAAGAACAGCTCACTCAAAAATGAAAATTTGCTGACATATTTCTCACCCTCAAGCCATCCAAGATGTAGAAGAGCTTGTTTCTTCATCAGAATAGATTTGGAGAAATTTTGGCTAAAATACAGAGTCCTCTATTCATACTATTGCTTTCTCCAGTGAGAAAGTCATCCTGTCTGAATCAGGAGAGAAATATGCACCGTTTACAAGTGAAAACAGTCCAAATGTTGTGGATTTTGATGTGAGAGGACAACAGGGGATGGACTTTTTCACTGGAGGACGAGTTATTATGGACTCATATTTTTGACATCTTAATGATGGATTTATTTCTTACAAACACAGCTTTTCACCTCACAATACATTAACTGATGGACTGGAGTGGTGTGGATTACTTCTGAATTATTGTGATGTTTTTATCAGTTGTTTGCACTCTCATTCTGACGGCACCCATTCACTGCAGAGGATCCATTTGTGAGCTAGTGATGTAATGCTACATTTCTCCAAATCTGTTCTAATGAAGAAACAATCTCACCTACATCTTGAATGGCCGGAGGTTAAATTTTCAGCAATTTTTCATTTTTGGGTGATCTACTCTTTTAAGACATGTTACCTGACTCTGGTGGAGTGTGTGCAGTGCAGTTGGTTTCTTCCCCTATTCCGGCTGAATTAACTGCAGCCACGCTGATGACATAGAAAACGTCAGGCAACAGGCCAATGAAAGTGTGCGCCACTTTGTGTGTGAGCATGAGAGGATGAGCCTCCTCCTCCAGATTTCCAGAGCGAACGAGGTAGTACAGAATCTCTCCATTAGAATGAATCGGAAGCTCCCATTCCATGTACACTGAATTCCAATCCAATCCAGAGCAGGTTAGATTCCCAACGGCATCTGACACTGAAACATACACACCAACAGCACAGATATATCTTCATTTCTTCTTCATTTGATCTCTAAGGCTTTGCATATGTTTTTTTTTTTTTTTTTTTGTATTTGTATAGTTTTTAAATTTGAAATATCAAACAAATTCCAAATTTCAAAGCCAAGTTTCAACTTTTTCAAAAACATTTTTTTTTTTAACATTTTATGTAACATTGTTTTTCGCATTGACAATAATAAGGATTGTTTCTTGAGCACCAAATAAGCATATTAGAATAATTTCTGAAGGATCATGTGACACAGATGAATGTGTGAGTGTTTATTACCTGATTCATTGGTAGTGAATATGACAGGCAGGCTGTACTGATCCCCATTTCCTGCTCTAGTGAATGCGCACACGCTGATTTCATGTGAATTATGAGGTCTAAATCCACTCAGTTCTGATTGTGTGGACGCATCCGATGAGTTCTTGAGTAAACAGAGGCATATGAAGTTTAATTTACACACATGAAAAACATGAGAACAGAATCACATATACTGTATTACATAGACATAGGGGTGTACTACCTGATATCTGAAAGTGTATGTGTTTAGTTCGAGTATTCGGAATCCGTAGTGCTGGACGATTCCATTTGGCTCTGGACTAGGTTCCCACTGAAGCCACACTGAATTCAAAGTGTGGTTAAAAATAATCAGATCGCGTGGTGGAGACATTGGGACTGGACACACAAAAAGGATATAATACATTAGACACATTAAGTCTGCAGTGCACATTTATAATTGTATGAATTTGCAAAGTGGGATATACAGATTTGAAATTTCAGACTTAATATTTTAAATTACAATTTTCAAATATCAAACTTTCAATTTAAATTTATAAGCTAAGACTTAAAAAGTTAGGGTTTTCCCTTGGACTCCAACAATAAAAAAGTGGTTTAACCATTTCAGGGTTATTGCCCTTAGAGAGAAAATTAGTTGTGATTTAAAAACAACAGAAACAACACTATAGAGGCTTGGGATAAACTTAATGATGCACATTTGAAACCATCTATTTCTTAATGTAAACATTTATTTTTATTATTATGATTATTTATAAAAAAAAATGTAATCATTTTTTCTTGAAGACTTTGGCAACTGTAATTTGTTGTTGTTGTTGTTTTTCAACTTTTACTTCAAATTTCAGTTTTTAAATTTCAAATGTCAAACTAATTCTGAATTCAAATTTCAAAGCCATGCCTTAAAGATTCAAAGTTGAACAAAAGTTTACATTTTTAAAGATCAAACATCAGACTTCAAAATCTATTTCTGTTTAAAATTTTAATATCAAACAAATTTCAAATTTAAATTTTGAAGCAAAGACTTAAGTTTAACAAAAGTTTACATTTTCAAAGATCAAACAACAGGCTTTTCAAATTTTCTGTTTTTAAATATTCAAATATCAAACAAATTCCAAATTTGAATTTAAATATTAAAATTTGGAAAATCTTTTAAACAGATCAGTTCCCCTAGAATAGAAATAATTATATGTCTCTGACCTGCTTCATCAGTGTGCAGTGGAATAATCACAGAGGGTCCGACACCTATGCGGGTGACCGCAGCGATGGAGAGATTGTAAGGTGTAAATGGAGTGAGTTCTGAAAGCATTAGGTGTGTTTCAGTGGTGTAGGTTTTGTTGACGGTCCCAGGACCCTGTAAAACTAGAGCATAATCTAGAATCTCGCCATTGGCCTCCACTGGGGGGAACCATGACGCATGGATGGAGGTGCTGGAGAGATTCCTACTAGCTCCAGGCAACGGAGGAGAACTTGGCACTGTCAAAACACAGACACACAAGAGTTTTCAATCAATAAGTATGTTTATATCCATGTGCATGTTAAATACAGGAAGTGACGCGTACCGTCTTCATCTGTTCGCAGGAGTAGCATTGCAGTGTGGTTTACGGCAGATCCTGCACCGGTTGCAGGGGTGACTTTTATGATGTAGGGAAAATACTTCCTGAGCTTGGTGAAGAGGTAGATGTTGTCTGTGGTAGTTTTGGTGATAGTGATGTTGACTGTGCGGTTAATGGATGGGTGGGTCGTTCCCGCCTCTTGGAGGCTCAGCTGATAGAAGACTCTGCCATTGGGCTCCAGAGGAGGGTCCCAGCTGATCACAACAGCCGTAGAGCTGTAGATCGTAGCGGTGAGGTTGTGGACTGGACCACTCGGCACTGCAGCAGGGGGAGGGTGTGGAAGAGATACAGTTAATAATATATGAAGAAAGGTCAACAGTTACACTTTAGAACAGGGAACAAATCACTGCAGTCTAAGTAATAGATGTTGGTTCGAGTGCAACTAAGAAATGGAATGAGGCTTTGTTCCCCAATCTAAAGTAACAAAATTAGGGTTCATCTCATGAAAGCTTGCAATATCAGGACATATTTCACCTAAAAAAAACAAAAAACCTGTATTTACATTAAAAAGTTAAGCCTGTTGAAGGACTATTAAAAGGTTTTCATAGAGATCATAAAAAATAAAAAAAGATCAAAAAATCATAAATGTTCTAAAATCGACTTTATACGAAATAAATAAATAAATCATTTATAATTAATTAACAAATTCATATTTTTTAAATAATGATCATGATATACATTTATGGTCTTATTTTAATATAAAATATATATATATATATTTTTTTTAAATCTTGGAGTGAAATATGACCCAGATATCGAGATTTACCCATTAGATGTACAAAGAACTATCCTTTTAATTATTTAATTAATTAATTTATGCTTAAATAAAGCATAAATGGCACACTGCAACATCAAACCAGTCAACGATTCAAACCAGTCAACAATTATACTGATTAAAAGCAATGAAGATAAATGATCCATCTTAAACCAAGAAATTAAAATATTCATTAAAAAATACAAAAGCGCACATACAACACACACATGGACATGATATTCAGCAATTACACACGTCTGTGAGTCTGTGGAAATGAAAAATGGTAAATAAACTCCGGCACAGCGTCTGCAAAATCGTCAAGAGTCAAGATCACAGATATAGGAAAGAAGAGAGAAGCAGAGGAAGACAGGCTGATTGTGTTAGTAGGAAAATCCATCTGGAGCATGTTCTGTGTCCGAGATATTGCTTTGTGCTGAAGTGAGCTGCTGAAGCTGGGTGATTCTCCAGTAACTGCAAACCGATCAGACACAATCACTCACAAAGAGCCAAACAGGACCATGGCATTATTTATTCATATAGAACACTTTCAAAATCTCAGACACCAGGGAAGAAAAACCTTCATTTGTCTCAGAAGGTCACCTCTGCACCGTTTTTCCCAAAATCACACAAAAACTGCTTATTATGACTCTTACATAAAACCTTGGCATGCGGTAAGATTCTGAAATCAGGTCATCATATTCATATAAACACATATGGTATGAAATAACTCATTTTAGGAGAGCACAAATGCGAGAGCTGTTGACATATAATAAAAGCATAGAGCTATAAAAATAAAGCATATAGCTGCTTCATGAGAAATGTTTGGGTTTATATTGAGATCTCTTACCTGTAGATTTTTGTCAAATCTGAGCACAGTTTGAGACATTGTTGAGATCTCTTTTAAAAAGCATATGACATTACTGGGCTCTTTTTCTCAGGACAAACATCTGTGAAGCAGGGGACTTTAGCAAAAAAAAAAAAAGCCTCCAATTGCTCTCGAACAGTTTTTTGATGTTTCTTAAGTCAAATTGACACATTTACAATATTCTTGAAGACAAATATATAACATGTTGCATAATGTACCCAGAAACGTACAGCAACGTGCTATTTTCTATTTTCAACAAATCCTGTGAGAGGAAATGCAAGCTGGGATAGTCTAGAGACCGACAAATAAAAGGCTTTGAGATCAGACCCACTCGGTTTCGTGGTGAGGACTCAACAATCCCAGTTTGCGGCTTGAAGGAAGTTGTCTCCTTTCACAAAATGTGCTGAATGTGTGCTGTGTGCGTGTTGATGAGTTTCAGTGTGATTTTTTGGGAGTGCAATCTGTTGGAAAAGTGGTGCAGAGCTGCGTTTCTCCCCTGAGTGTGTGAGGAGACTGACCGTCCTCTAACATGGTGAAGTTTAGACGGGGACTGAACACTCCCCCATCACCAACTGAAGTGCTGGAACTCATCCATACACTGTATTCCTGTCCTGCCTTCAGATCAGACAACACCCACCAGTGCTCTGAACCCGGAACCGTCTACAGAGAGAGAAAGAGAACATGGTCATTCACTGCATGACTGAATCAGCATTTCATTCGGAGTTTAAAATGTGTTTATGTGTTTAGTTGGTCTAGCTATTCGTATAGATATTAAATCTTTTGTAAAAAGTACTGTGGTGGTTCCATGGTACAAATGAAAGTATCAGATGATAATATAATAAACCATTACATGTACAGATGTGGGCTTAACGGTGTCAGAAAGCACAAAAATTCAATTAATTAATAAATCGATATATATTAAAATACTTATCATTAATACATTCATTATTTTTCAATAATTATCATTGCAAAAAATTATCAATTTATATAAACATTTCTATTTCTCTTTAAATAAAGTGACATATTTATTCATTTTATTTTAATATATAATACAATTTTTTTAAATCTTGGAGGGAAATATGACCCAGAGATTGAAATTCACCCATTTGCTGTATAAAGAACAATCCTTTTAATTAATGAAACACTTCATTAATAAAAGTATGCTTTGGTAAGTTATGTATTTACACGGTCCAAACTACTTCAAAGAATACTATTAAATGGTACATTTTCAAAAAAACATGGTACTTTGTGCTACATATTTCTTTCTGCACAACTGATCATGACAGTAAAACCTGTCAAATGTACCTAGTGAGGACATCAACACAAGAAAAACAACCTTAAAGGTAAATAATATCCTAATTCATATCTAAAACAAATCATATCTACAGTATATTGTGGTTAGACTACCGTGTGCGCTAACTACTGTAGGTGCGACAAGTTTCCAGTGACAGCCAATTTAGTTAGCCTATTAGAAAAGACGTCCAGAAAGAAGTTAAATGTTCTGTTATTTTCTATTAATATTTTTAGTACCAAGTAAAATATACGCTTTCAATCTTTCAAAATTTCAGGGTTGGTAAGATTTTGAAAGAAGTCTCTTATGCTCACCAAGGTTGCATTTATTTGAGCATTTGTTCACAATTTCATATAACTGTTTTTTATTTGAATATATTTTAAGATGTAATTTATTACTGTAATGTAATTTACTTATGTAAATCTGATATTTCCCTCATCTCCAAATGTTTTCACAGTTCATTCTAGGATACTTGCGATGCTGCTATAAAGTGTTGTCTAGGTGGTTTGGAACAGAATGTGTTTGTGTTTACCTGATTCTATGGTACTGAATGTGATGTAAATCAGCATTCCTCCATCTCCGAGTCGAGTCCAGCTGCTCACGGAGGCATTGTATTGACCCAGTCCATCCACACTCAACACCACTGACGTCTCCGTCAAATTGGCGACAAACTCAGAGCTCAGATTCCTAATACACACACACACACACACAATTGTAAGTTTCAATCTAGTACGACAACAGCCAGGTCTTTGGTAAAAACTGATTTTAAATCATCTTCACTTACCACACTCTCACTATGTAGTATAAAATCTCAGAGTTGGCCTCCGCGGGAGGTTTCCAGGACAACTCTACCTCAGTATCATTCAATTTCCTGGCGATTAGGAATTTTGGAGGGGAACTGGGTACTGTTGTTTAGGAAAAACAGCTATTATTGACCCAAAACTGTGGAAAAGGACTTAACTCTCGAACGTGACAGTGATTTGAGTTAGTAAATGTAAGAGAATGTCTCCCATGCCATGAGCGGCATCCGCATTTGCCCATCCTGGCAGCTGCTAATGGAAAAACTAACCAACCAAACACAGAGAAACAAGGTTCTGTCTCCTGAGGTAGAAAGAATAAACTTTATAACACTGTTATACAGTGTTAAAAATGTTTTATGACACTGTATAAAACTCCCAGACTGCTTTCAGAAATGTCCTGTGGGAGAAATAGAAATAGTTAAACAATAATAAAACACTCCCAATTCCTGCACGCAGACCACTGAAAAGCTGTAAAAAGAAGAAGTGTTTACTGTGTGACCTTGATTCTTTCTGCATCTTTAGCCAGATACAGACACATTCACCTTGAAGACTGACACTAAAAAGGAGAAACAGCTTAATTAAACACCACAAGGTCTGTTTGTTAAAACCGATCACTCACCATCCTCCAGTGTGGTGATGTTCAGGATCTCGCTCGTGTGGTTGCCCATGCCGACCTGTGTGGCAGCCTGCACGCTGATGCGGTAGCGCGCATACTTTCGCAGGTTGGACAGGGTGACATAAGGCACATGTGTGGTTTGGTTCAGACTGTGTGTGGCATTCCAGTATTCCACGTTGTAGAAGAGGATGATGCCGTTAGCGAGAAGCGGGGGCGACCATGACACGTTGACCTCGCTGGATCCAATGTCCTCATAGGTCAAATCGGAAGGTGGGCTGCCAGGCACTGAAACAAACAATTAAACTGCACATTAGGATGAGGTCGGTGTGCTTGGTGCAAAAATTATATCAGCCTGCGAATTGCTGATATTCTATAAAACAGTCCTCTCGCTCGTGTGATTAATAATATTAGAACATGAAGTGGGCTTTTTAATGAATTAAAATTATTTTTGAAACCGTACAGAGGGGGAATGAGATTAGAATCTGCGCTTCCCACATAAAAAGAAGGAAACATAAGCACCATAACTCAACATGCTGGAGCTCATGCACTAAACACTAGGCCATTGCCCTTATTTGTCCTGTTTTATGGTGTTCTTGAATTTTTATTAACATAATGAACAGTACAAAGAGGACAGGCACCATGGCTCAACATGTGTGCTGGGATGTGGGATTTTATGAATGAAGGTGTATCCATACACTAACATTCAGGAGTTTCGGGTCGGTAAGATTTTTTTAATGGTTCTGAAAGAAGTTATGCCCCACCAAGGATGCATTTATTTGATCAGAAATATAGTAAAAACAGGAATAATGCGAAATATTTAAAATAGCCATTTTCTATTTGAAAATATTTGAAAATGTTCAAATTTGTTTTCTGTGATGCAAAGCTGAATTACTCCAGTCTTCAGTGTCACATGATCCTTCATAAATCATTCTAATATGCAGATTTGCTGCTCAAGAAAGAAAGAATTCTAGCGCAAACTGTGATACTTTTTAAGAATTCTCTGATGAAAAGAACGTTCAAAAGACTTTTGATAAATTGAATGTGTTCTTACTGATTAAAAGTATTAAAAAATGTTTGCTGCAACAAAGCGTCCAAAAGTCATTAATCTTTATTAATAAGAGTTGGTGATTTACATTCAACTTCATGCAAACTGGGTAGAGACGCAATGCATCTGGGGTAAAGACACAAGAGTTCACATGTTTTAAAGGGGTCATATGATGCTGCTAAAAAGAACATTATTTTGTGTATTCGGTGTAATGAGAAAGGAAAAAATGAAATCGCATCATATGACCCCTTTAATGCCTTGATTAGACTTGGAATAGCAATGTCTACTAGAAATCAAACAGTACCAAGACTTTAATCACTGTGGGTGTGAATGCACCTTAATTGCGTGGGATTTCAAGATGAGACTGGATTAAAGTTTGAAGCCTCTCCTAGTTTTTCAATTAAACATGAACACACACACACACACAATGACTCACCATCCTCCCCCGACAGCATCTGTAGAGTATCAGAAATCTGGTTCCCGTGTCCGTATAGCGTAAACGCACGGACAGTCACATTGTAATGTGTGAGGGGAATAAACGGGGAAAACACACACACACACACACACACACACACACACACATTTAATTACCAAAATAATTTTTGGTAATTAAAACAAATCTGGAAAAAAAAAACATAAAATTAAACTAATACAAATGATGAGAGCACATAAAATTACTATTTAAACTAAAATTAAAACTGAAAATATAAAAATAAAAGCTAATTAAAAAAATAATAAAAGCTAATTAAAAATATTAATAGACACTATAATAGTATATAAATAATCTTAACACGGAGTAAAGTAGGTCTGTTTTGAAAGGTTTATTCATGTTGCTAAAAAATAAATAGATTTTAAATCGTATTTTTACTTACGGAAACCTAGTATGTTAACTTAGTTGTTATTTTGGTTGTGCTTTTAACAGTAATATTAGTTATCCAAATCACAACAACCTTGAAATGTGAGTGAGGTCATAATGGGTGGAGTCAGGGGGAGGAGTTATTTACCCTCTATTCCAATAGTGGTGGCAGCTCTTGTTGGTGGGTTCACCTGCTGCTGGGTGGAGTCTGTGGCCACCGCCCTAGTGGAGCGACGGGGCTGGGAGGGGCTTAAGTTAACCAATGGTGGTTGTTCAGTTCCTCGAGTGAGAGCTGAAAGTTCAGTCAAAGGCTCCTCGGTTACAGCCTCAGTCTCAGCCTGAACAGATGCAGCGGTTCTGTCATGGGTCACTGTGAGCCAGGGTGGAGGTGTGTGGGGGGTGCTCGGGGTCAGAGGAAGGTCAGAGCTCAGTTCCATATCAGTGTTGGAAAAATCACGACCCAAAACGGGAAATGTTCCGTGTGAGGTGAGAGTGAATGCAGATGCTGTGGTGATGTCAAGTGACCTCGCATTACGACGAAGTGGAGCGTTCTGTAACACAATGACATATAATCAGTAAAGCTGAACCAAATAAAATACTGTGATTGTGTGTGTGTGTGTTTGTGGAGTTTAGTGTGTTTTACCTGTTCTCGCAGGGTGATGTCCTGTACAAGAGTACTGCGGTATAACACTAGAATCCGATAATGTGTGATCAGTCCGTTCGGTTGGCTCGGGGGTCTCCAGGACAGACGGACCGACGTGGAGTCCACAGCCTCTGCTGTCAGATGAGACACAGCACTCGGGGCTAACAGGGAAATAAATGCACACACATTCAGTTAACAACACACTTTGCCATACCACCAAGGGCCTTAGCACAGTTCCAAGGGGACCATAAGACGACTTCAAATTACCTAAAATAAGACAAAAATATGCTTGAAAATAAAATATATTAAAAATATATTAAAAAGTGCTTTAAATCACAAACGATTTTTTCATAATAAAAAATCTAAATATAAACAACATATTAAATATAAATGTCTTTAGTGTCACTTTTGATCAATTTAGTTCGTCCTAGCTAAATGAAAGAATTAATTTCTTTAAAAAAAACTATTGAATGGTAGTGTATTTCTATGTAAAGTCAGGGTTGGATTATTAATGTCCATTACTGGGAACAGCTGATATATTTTCCCATTTCTACAATCCACTGCTGAGAAAAATGCAGCCCTTTATTTATCACACATATTCAGCATCAGATGCTTTGAGGCCTTGAACCAAAAACTAATTTTAGATAAAAGCAACTCTAAGTGAACAAATAGCCTTTCTTGTTTTTCCATGCATTTAATAAGCATTTTCTTAATCAGCACCAACTGGCTCTGTATTAAAAAGTCATTCCCTCCAGCTAAATGAACCCAATTAAAAGGTATAATTAGAGATAGCGGATTTCGCAGACAGACTTAATTACACCGAGACCAGCTAAATATAAACCTCATTTATAACTCTCACTTATTCTGACCCCCGAGTCTGAACACTTACAGAAGTCGCAAACACTTACACGTTCCCTGAGCCTTCTGTTCTCCAAACAGATGAATCAAAAATTGAATTGTTTTGTATGACATGGCTCCCAATATGTCACCATCAAGCATACACAACCACAGTTTGAGAAAACACATGACACCAAAGATCAATCATAGTGGAGGTCATGAGATGGCAACCTGCATGTCTGAAGGAACTATTCATTCTTCACTGTAGCGGAAAATACACAACACAAATTTGTGGCAATTCATCCATGAACCACAACTAAAGTGTAGCTAGGTCATGCAGAAAGAAAATGGGGAGAAAAAACAAAAGCAATTCCACATCAGCAGTATCTAAAATGATTCAGCGCTTCTTTAAAATGCAGTCAGCACAGCTAAATTTGTTTATTGTGTATATGAGGCAATAACATTTTCATACAATTACATTTTGTTAGGATAGGACAATATTTGGCCGAGATATAACTATTTGAAAATCTGGAATCTGAGGGTGCAAACAAATCAAAATACAGAGAAAATCACCTTTATAGAGTTGTCCAAATTAAGTTCTTACCAATGCATATCACTAATCAAAAAATTAAGTTTTGATATATTTACGGTAGGAAATTTACAAAATATCTTCATGGAACATGATCTTTACTTAATATCCTAATGATTTTTGGCATAAAAGAAAAATTGATAATTTTGACCCATACAATGTTTTTTTTGGCTATTGCTAAAAATATACTCCAGCGACTTAAGACTGGTTTTGTGGTCCAGGGTCACAAATGTGTACGTATTTTACCTTCTGCTAGTGTTGTAATGTTGATCACTGCTGCCGGTCCTGTGGCCCCTGCTGATTTGGCCATCACGCGGATGTAGTATTGTGTGTATGGAGTCAGTCCAGTGTACATAAACACCTGTTCGATTGTGCCATTTTCACTAATAAATTCTGAAATACACACATACATGCACCACATTAGCAAACAAACAATGAGAGGATGTGCTTTGCATTATGTGTGCTAAAGGCAAGACCACACAGCTTCATATCATTGGTTTATATTATATAAAGTTCCTGTAACAGTATGGTGTCTGTCTGATAATATGAAAGGTAACGGTTCAACGGGTGTTAGCATGTGTTACCTTCAGAGCTGTGGAGTTGGATGACGTAACTGAACCGTCCTGTGATGATCTTTGGAGGATCCCAAGTTAGAGATAGAGATTTAGAAGTGATGTTTCTGAAAACTACATTTTGTGGAGGGTCTTCAGGGGCTGCAACACACATTATTATTATTATTATTATTTTTTACATTTTTGATTAGTTACAGAAACTTGAGATTATGGATTACTGTGAAAATTGTGATATTTAGATAAGACAACATTAAAATGGCATTTGCAACAGAAATTAACTTCTGTAATGTGCCCTATTGCTATAATTCCAGATATTATTATAAAAATAATGAAAACATTTACAACATGTATTAATGAATCATGCGCAAACACATCAGAGAGACTTATTTAAGTAAATAGTCTTTTGAATAGAATTAGAATTTTAATTACTGTTCAAAATTTTGGGGTCGGTAAGATTTTTTTTTAGGTTTTTAACAGAAGTCTCTTATGATCACCAAGGCTGCCTTTATTTGATTGAAAATAAATTATTGTGAATTAATATTATACAATTTAAAATAACTGTGTTTGTTTTTTAAATACATTTTAAAATGTAATTTATTCCTGTGATGCAAAGCTGAATTTTCAGCATCATTACTCCAGTCTTCAGTGTCACATGATCCTTCAGAAATCATTCTAATATGCTAATATATGCTATATTTGCTATATGCTATATTTTATAGAACTTCTGATGCATTTAATGCATCCTTGCTGAATAAAAACATTAATTTCTTTCCAATAAATAAATAAATAAATTGGTAAAAAAAAATTACTTTACGTGAAGCCTTTAAACATAAGGCATCCTAAAAGTATTATAAAAGTAGTATATATAAAATGCATTAATTATGCATTGTAATGCACCTTATAATGCATTGTATGATCTCATAAATAACTGTAACCACAGTTGTAATACTTATCTATTCATTTGTACACCTTTAGGAAGTATAATGCATAAAAACACAGAACAAACAACCAATTTCAGATGTAACTAAGAATCTGAAAATAGTATAAGGCATTTTATCTTTGGTTACAATTATTTATGACAAGATAAAAGGAATTACAACATACACTATAGATATCTTTATAATGCATTATACATAAAATCTTACTGACACATTTGTGAACAGTAGTGTAGATATACAGTATTTGAGAATTAAGAGTGTGTATGTGTGATAACATACCAGCCTCTGGCATGCGGACCATAGTGCTGGCGATCTGTCCCTCCCCGTCACTGGTGAAGGCGGAGACTTCAAACACGTAAGGAGTGTAGGGGTGGAGCTCATCAATCTTCACACTGATTGGAACAATCCAGATGGAGGCGGGAGGTACGGCTGAGAGCGTAACCGTGGGCAACACAGCAGATGTCAACTGGGAAGACTCGGACGGGCTTGGAGTTCCACGAGATAAGATGTCTGCTGCATCCTAGAACACACACATGCACATAAACACCCTGAAACTAATTGTAAAGATTGGTAAATCAATGCATATAGCACTGTGGTTTGAATTTGGTTCAGCTGTCCTGTATCACTTCAAATATTCATTAATGCAAGTACAAACATACGTTGCAGTGAGGCAGAGCTCCGTTCATGATGTCCTCTGCGTTGAGCTCGAGCATGCGGACGGTCTGGCCTGTTCGAGCATGTTTGACTTTTACTGCAAACTTTGTGATGAGACCATTAATGCGTACAGGTAGAAACCATGTCACTAACACAGATGTGTGATCCTCAGCAAACGCTGTGAGGTTTGACACCAGACCAGGGGCTGTGAGATTGAACATAAACGCATGGATCAAAATATTAAGCATACTGTATGAAAATACATACAACCTCACTTACAGTAGGTATCACTTTTAGGCATCATAAGTAGAAATTGTTTGCTAGCATATAAACTACCATTCAGAAATTTGGGGTTGGTAAGATTTATTATCGTTTTTGAAGGACGTTTCTAATGCTCACCAAGGCTTTATTTATTTGATCAAAAATACAGTAAAAACAGTAATATTGTGAAATATTATTCCAATTCAAAATAACTGTTTTCTATGTGAATATATTTTAAAGTGTAATTTATTCCTGTGATGCAAAGCTGAATTTTCAGCATCATTACTCCAGTCTTCAGTGTCACATGATCCTTCAGAAATCAGTATAATATGATGATTAGCTACATAAGAAATATTTCTTATTGTCACTGTTGAACAAATATTCCAATCAAAGTGCACACATCCAATCGGCCAAAAGCTCAATGCAGGTGCTCAACCACAAACAATTTCAAACAGGAAAATCAAAGTTGGCACACCACAGCTCCAAAAGTAGAAAAATATTTAATTATGTTCTCACCACAGGTGACGTTTCGAGCCTAAAAGCTCGTCTGATGAAGAGCTTTTAGGCTTGAAACATCACCTGTGGTGAGAACATAATTAAATATTTTTCTACTTTTAGAGCTGTTGTGTGCCAACTTTGATTTTCCTTATTGTCACTGTTGAAAATAGTTGCTTAATAGTTTGCTTGTGACAAAAGTGATGCTTTTTTTCAGGATTCTTTGATAAATAGAAAGTTAAAAGGAACAGCATTTATTTGAAATCTTTTGTAACATTATAAATATATTTACTGTCACTTTTGGTCAATTTAATGTGTCCTTGCTGAATAAAAGTATTAATTTCTTTAAAAAAAAATTATACTGACCCCCAACCTTTGAATGGTAATGTAGTTTTGGCAAAAATCTAATGCATCATATATGTCTGACAATACCAGAATGCATTGTGATGAGTTCAGAGAATATTTTAATTACAGCAAAATTTAGGAAAATGTCAATTATAAATATATTTTATTCTTTACTAAAAGTGTTCCATTTAATTAAAATGTACAATTTCACCCAATACTGCTGTGTTTTGTGTATTTTTGTGCTTATTATAGTATCAAAATGCGCATCACAGGAGGAGTGCTATTAGCGTTTTAGACATGAGTGACCATTAACAAAGTTGCTGTCCATGAAGAGCATTTTGAATCAGTTACTTAAGATGCCGTATTTGAAGACAGCGAAGAGGCTCACTAGGGCTTCGTAAAAAGCTTTTGTAAAATATATAGATGTTGCTTACGGGCCTCTGCGGTTTTGTAGTACAGAGACTGGCTAAAAGGTCCAATTCCTGCTTTGTTTACAGCTGCAACCTATAAAGAAAAGACAGAAGAAGAGCTCTTAAAAAGCAATATAGCCAAACCGCACACAGCATGAGAACGTCTGCTTGATTTATCACCATGACTTAGCAGAGATGGTTATATAAACACTGTGAATGAAGATTCCAATGCAAGATGATCTACTCCAGACAACAGATCCATCAAATACTGTCACATGTACAAACACTCGCTCGAACAAAAGCTTAGAGAGTCAATTCAGAGTTCACGGTATACCCAGCCAATGAATTCACGAGACAAATGAGGGAAAACAGAGATCCCTCGTGGATCCAGAGTTCTCTCTAGGAGATGAATAATTCATAGCTGATAAATTATTGAGTGGGATCAACGGAATAGAGGCCACTGGCAACTTTCCCATGGACAGTTAATCCAGTAGTGTCTGCTGAACGCTGGACCTTCCCTACAAAGCACTTTCAGAAAAGTTTTTACTAGCTGCTGTTTCATTAGAGGTGACAAAAACACACCACAATGACATTAAACAAGCAGAAAACACTAAAAGGGGACATTAATGAGCATCTAACATCTCAGATACACATGGGCTGGATATAATATTAGTAACATCTATAGCTGTATTAATTTCCAGGGCTTAATAAGTAGCAGGTCATGTTTTTTGTCTTCAGAAGAGCTTTGGTTCTTTGGGGAATAGTGCGGTCTTTGGAGTTGGAAAGAAATTGGAAATCTCTAGAGTTTCCCCATTCAGAGTCTTTGAGAAATGTATGGGAGGTAGTTTTTCCTGACGTCACATCTGAATTTGTTTAGCACTATGTACTAGGACACTTCTGCCCTGGAATACTAGCATATTATGAGGAAACATGTTCACTCTCATAATCTTTTATTCTACCATGTAGAGGAATCAGGATATATAATGAAGTTGCAATAATGTGGGTATCATCTGATTTTCCTCAAGTGTTCACCTGTCTGCATAAAGCTAAAAGGTGCATACTGTGAAGCACTTTTGTTGTTGTCATAGTCTTTGTTCTGTGCTCCTCATACCAGGTTATGAGTATTCAAAGAGGCAGACCTGCCATGATTAAAAGTAGTTTGAGGATGCATTTTTTTTTTACATTTATAAACTATCCACTCAAGTATCTTGTCTCTTCAAGTGCTTCAACTTTCCTTTATTGATGTTTTCAACCTGTTTCCTTTATTACAATTTTGCTATCCTTATTACAACCATGCTCACTGACATTTTTACATTTTTTTATTACTTCATAGCTTTTGTTATCAATGCATTTGCAATTTTGTTATTTTATATTTACACTACCATTCAAAAACTTAGGGTCAGTTAATTTTTTTTCTTTTTGCAAGAAATGTACGCTTTTATTCAGCAAGCATGCATTATATAGATCAAAAGTGACAGTAAAGACTTTTATAATTAAGGATCTATATTACAAAAACGCTGTTCTTTTGAACTTCCTATTTATTAAAGAATCCTGAAAAAAAATTGCGGTTTTCACAAACATATTAAGCAGCACAACTGTTTTTAACGTTTATAATAATAAGAAACATTTCTTGAGCAGCAAATCAGCATATTAAAATGATTTCTGAAAGATCATGTGACACTGAAGACTAAAAATTCAGCTTTGTCATCACAAGATTAAATTACATATTAAAATAGAAAACAATTTTTCTTATATTGTAATAGTATTTAACAATATTACTGTTTTTACTGTACACTTGATCAAATAAATGCAGGCTTGCTGAGCATAAGAGACATCTTTCAAAAACATTACAAAAATCTTAACCCCAAATTTTTAAATGGTAGCGCATAATATTCCTCATAGCTGCCACATACTTCTATGTAATATGATGCAGCTTTGCGGAAGTTATTATATTTTAGTTCCTTTTCAGTTTCCTAAAAAACATTTCCATAAAAACATATTGTAGTCAAATGTGTTATGCACACTCTAGGAAGCTTGATATTTTGTTTCTATAATATTTGAAAATCTATGCTGTGGGCAAAGGGTTGTGTACATAAAACAATGTATTTTTTGTGCTTTTATCTCATTTTTGCTATCAAATAATCAACTGAAATGAGTGAAGGCTCAAGCGTGCACCTTGATGTTGTATGTGGCTCCAGGGCTGAGGGTGTTCAGCAGGGTTTCTGGAATGTCCAGGCTCTTGATGACCTCAGTGAAGGTTGGGTCGGGATATGGACACATTTCCTTGTATCTGATGGCAAATGAGTGAATTGTGGGGTTGAGAGGCACTGGCATTCTCCAGGACAGCAGGATCCCTGTGGAACCGACCCGCTCACCTTCTGGCTTAGAGGGGGCCGCAGGTACTGCATACGCATAGATAAAACACAAAGAATAAAATGAACATTCAGTATAGTATCCTACTTTATGACAGCTTTATTCAATACTTGAATCTAATTGGTTAATTACAGCAATTATTGTATGTAGTTTTTACACACAATTAATTTTAATCGTCACTTCTTGCATTTATGTTGCTATTGTAAGGGAAACAGGTCAATTTAGCTCAAAGGGAATCATTTAAGATTTTAAAGGGAATTTGGACAGAATCACTGTTTTACGGCTGCTCACTGAGACGGCCAGCGATTCATTGAACGAGCCGCACAACATCAACTCTGCAATGGATATTAATATCCAAAATATAGTGAAAACACTATTAATTAGCACAGTAACAAGATCGGCAGTTTAAGACATTAACTTGTAAGCACAAAACACAAGATACTTCTCTTTTCAATATAAATAAGGCTTTATTGGATAAATCTAAGACATATAAACTAATTTAACACATAAACACACGCATTCACACAAGTTGCAGAAAGACAGAAAGTGAGGAAATAATTAGTTTAAGAGAATGAAAATGTGTTGAGAATGCGTTTCTCCTCATGGTTTTGGAGGAGCTGGCGTGTAAGCCAGAGCACGCTCAAAGA